ACATCTTTGAGACCAGCAATAATGTAGCTACCATCGAGCCTACCATAATTGTGCAAGGCCACAAAAGATAAAGGATGGGAACAAGCCATGCAAACAGAAATTTATATGATAAAAAGAAATGGTACATGGACATTGGTAGATAAACACAATGAATAAAAAGTCATTGGAGTTAAATGGGTGTTTAGGGCTAAGCAAAATGTTGATGGGACATTAAACAAACTGAAGTCTTGATTCGTGGTGAACGGATATTCTTAAGTGTTTGGAGTACATTACTTGGAGACATTTGCACCTATTGTAAGACATGATACCATCCGATTGTTGGTTACTTTAGGTGTTAAGGAAAATTGAAAATTTTGACACATGGATGTAAAGTCAGGTTTTCTAAATGGAATGTTGAAAGAAGAAATTTTTATAGAGCAACTAAAAAGTTTTGTGGAACTTGGTAGTGAAGACAAATCCTGCAAGTTGAACAAGGCTTTTTATGATTTCAAATAGGCACCCAAGTCTTAGCATGAGAGAATTGATACTCATCTTTATAGTAAAGGCTTCAAATAAAGTAAGAATGAGCCTACTCTTTAAATTAAAAGCTCAAATGGTGCAACTTAACTCATAATGTTGATTTATGTCGATGATCTATTAATGCCTCAAACGGATCTTGGTGAAATAACCTATTTCCTAGGGATGGAATTCATTCAAGAACCAACTAATATATTTGTTGATCAAGGTAATATGCCAAGTACGGGCTGAAACTATTCAATGTGGATGCCTATGATAATTCTATTTTATAGAATTATTTTAGTTCAATTCTGTTATTAAATATTAACTAAGTCCTTAATTTTATATTAGAGTTTAGTTATTTTTATCTATTTTCTCATTTAGTTTATTTTTATTAAGTTGTTTTAATTTTATGTTTATTTATCTCAATTTAGTTATTATTTATTAGCTTTTATGCTTTTGTAGGATTTAAGAAAATAAGGCTTAATTTTGAAAAGTAAGGTGTTTGAAGGAGCTAGGATTCTGATTACATATGTTTCAGTGTTTGGAAAATAAGGCTTAATTTTGGAAAATAAGGCTTAATTTTCGCTACAAAACTCCAAATGATGCGATTCTTGAACCATTGGAAAGCTCAGAGATAAAGCTACAACTTGGATATAAGTTTGCCTTGAAGATAGAGAAAATCGTGTCAGAAGATAACAAGGTGTAATGTTGTGAAAATGGCAATTTTGAAAGATGATATTTGATATTTGGGCCTCATTACACTTTTAAGCCCAATTAGACTTGGTAGGTTAACTTAGGGACTTTTAGGTTAAGATTATTAGTATAAATGGGATATTTTTAGGAAAAACTAGAAATAACTTTAGAGATTCAAAAGGTTAAAAGTTGAGGCAGAAACTTGAAAAGCAAGGGTGCAATTAACTGTTTTGTTTTCTTCCTTAGCTTTTATTTTTCTTTCTACTCTCAATGGTTGAAATTTATATATTTTTCTTTGTTTTTACAATTATCAGTAGCTAATTTTGTTTTTCTAGTATTGCAATTGAACTTACATTTAATCTAAATTTTTATTCTCTTTTTTACTTATATTTAGTGAGATTTGAATTGTTTATTTCAATTTGTTCGTAATGCTTTTAAATTGATTGACCACCAATTAAATTGATTTAGACCTAAACAAACTTGAGAAATGGAGTTTAGTGTAAACTAAAATTGAGATAGCATATGATCATATTAATTGATTTGCGTATAGAATAGGGATATACTAATATGCCGTATGTAGCCAAATTAGAGCCTAAACTTAATGAATTTGCTTTAATTTCAACTCATATAGGGATATAGGGTTTTAATTAAAATAGATATTTTTATAAGACAAGTTAGAAAACCTTTATAAATAAAGTATCAAGACTTGATTCATGGGAAAAGTAAAGTCTCGAGACTTTAGAGGAAGTCTTTAGACATGCTACCCAGAAAAGAAAGTATCAAGACTTCCATAAGAAGTCTCGAGAGTTAGGTCAAAAAACCCTCTAAAATAGAACTATTTTCAAAAGTATCAAGAATTAGGCTCAAGGTATCTATACTTCAGCGCCAAACCTAAAAAAAATATTAAACTTGCCTTTTCACTGCCCATACTATAAATACATCACAAATTCCGAGACCTAATCATGTTGCTTGAATACTTAACCACCCTCCTCTAAAGCCTCTTAACTCTCAACTTTCTTCCAAGCTTCAAATTCATTTTTTTCAAGAGCAACTTCATTTCCAGCCATTAAACTTGTTTTCCAACATTTTTAGAGGTAAGGATATGATTTTCCAACATTTAAGTTTATGGGTTTTACCCCAAAAGTTCTATCAAATCCTTAAAGTTTTGATTTTTAACTCTTAATGTTAGGTTTCAAGCTTTTTCCAACATAGTGGGCTCACCAATGTAACGTTACCTTTAAAAAAAAGGTTTGGAGACCAAACTGTGGTTAAAATATAAACAACAAATTTAAATAGAGAATAAACAAAGTCTAGCTGAAGATTTATACTCATGGTTTGGTTAGAATATGATTTATGATGCTAGGAACATTATTGATACTTTGTTTAAATGTTGCTAAGTACAGTAGAAAAAGCTTGTGATTTTGGAGAAACTGAGTACTTTTTGCAAACTTAAAAAAGTGTTCGATATGCTCTAAAAAGGTGAATGAATACACCGCTTTCAAACTATTTTAATATGTAAAGCTAAAAGCATGATTTGATGAGTTATTTGGTTGATATAACTTGTATCATTACTTATAAAGCATTCTGTGAAAAAAGTCTTGATACCTTTAAAGAAGGTATCGAGACCTCACCAAGGAGTCTCAATTTCCTTGAAGGTATCGAGACATTAGGCATAAAATGAAATTGTTAGCGCTTTTTGATGTGTTCTAAATGGTTTTATACTTAGGCTTTATTCCAAAGTTTTATATGATTTCTAAAGGCTTTGAAAGACATTCAAAAGTTTGATTTAAATCTCTTTCCAATAATTTTATAATTAGGTATTTTATTCAAATGGGTTTACTTTGAGTACAAAGGCTTGAATTATGTTAATTTTCAAAGTATATAAATGAGCATTTAAAAAATCACACATGCATGGTATTTAAATATTTGTGTAAAAGCTCTAACCTTTTTACTTATCCACTTCTTGTATTCACTCATGCAGTCTTTGTGATTTCCAATATTTTTGTTGCAAATCAGTAATAACTCTCTCTCTAGTCACTCGTGTCATAGAGACATGATCCTTTCCTTTTTTGGTAAGTGATCTAGCAATCACTTGCAACCTAATGGTTGAGTCATGTTTCGTTGACTAGTCAATCTTTATTTATGTTTATGTTATAAATGTTGAACATGTTATGGATTTGTAGCTTTTCAAGGCATTGTTCATATTTTCCAAATTATGCTTTCATGGCCAAAGGTCCAGATTAGCACCAAGGTGCATACTTTTCTTTAAGTGATGATTTCTAAACTATGTTTTGAAATAGTATAATAAATGCATGTGAGTGTTTCCACATGTATGAGGCAAAATTCCATAATGGTGTAATGGTGTCTTCAGACAGTTTATGTGATATATGAAATGAATGTTTAATTCTTTGTATATGATAGTTTAGTTTATATATGAATGTAAGAGACTTGCTTAGGTCTAGCGAGCTAAACCTGTCTAGGTCCTTACGCCATTCATGGACCGTTAGAAACGGGTCGTGACAAGCTGACAGCTTCAAGGCCTAACATTATGCACACTAACAATGTGCTTTCAAGGTATATGCAAGCACCTTCTGAAATTCATCTCACAATAGCCAAGCGGGGCTTAGATACCTCGAAGGGACCTTAGGTTATGGTCTCAAATTCTGCAAACAGAAAAGAACAAAGCGTTACAATGCTATAGTGATATTTATTGGGCGACAGTGATTGGGCATGTTGCCCAGATGACTCTTGAAGCATTGGAGGTTTTTGTTTTTCATTTGAAAGTGTAGTTTTCACCGGAAACTCCAAGAAACAAGAGGTGGCGGCACAATCCTTAACCGAAGCTAAGTACATTGCAGCTGCATGTGCAACAAACCATGCTTTGTGGTTGAGGAAAGTTCTTTGTGATTTAGGATTAGTTTGAGCAATCAAACGGGACAGTTCTGAGGCTCGACAACTCATCTGTTATTGTCGTAGCCAAGAACCTAGTGCAACATGGAAGAACCAAACATATTGGGTTTAAGTTTCATGCTATCAGAGAGGCTATTAAAAATAGTGAGATTAAATTGAAATATTGCAGCACAGTTTAGCAGCTTGCTAATATACGGACTAAGAGCCTGAGCAAAGACAGGTTTATTTTTCTGAGCTCAAAATTAGGAGTGTTCAAGGCTGATCCGAAGAGGTGCGTTGAAGTTGGAATCAGGCTTGAGGTTTCCGTGGGCGCCAAAAGGAATTCATATTTGAAGAAGAAGACTCGTGCCTTGCTACACATGACTCGACAGCAAGCCACCTCATTTGCTGTCTTGTTCCTTCGTATAGGACTGTATTACTTTACAATTAGCTAAATAGGGTGCTAAATAGAAGACAAAAGGCGTTATGTGCCTAATGTCCTTTTTTTTTATTTATTTTAATCGTTCGACTGTGTTAAATACTTATAATAGCAAGCAAGAAATATCTTTTGCTCCCTACTGGTTCTTCATCTCTCACTACCTGTTTTCTCTGTTTTTGCTTCTTTCGAGTTTTTCTTTTGTTAAAAACTCTACACAGTAGCCTTCTTCTTCTTCATTGTGCTAATTGCTTCAGTTTTACAGTTTCTTACTTACTGCATGGCTTCAGTTCTCATGAATGCATGATCAACTGGTGCAAACACCATTAAAATCACAACACAAACTCACATGGAGATTATGTGTTCGAACACCAACACAGTAAAAAGAAATTATTCGTCAGAGTATCATAGTTATCAGAAGAAACTTAGTACCAAGTTCTCAGACTGTCGATAAATCTGTTAAAAATCAGTCTTAAAATATAACTCAGTAATCAAGAGAACCATCTAAAATTTCAGGAAATTGTGAACGTATCTCACTGTCTCTATCCAAGATGGCATCAACGAAAGAACTTGCAGGCAATGAAGAAGCATCAGTTTTTATGTTAACTTGATTCATTGTGGTAGAGCTGTAATCATATACTCCAAATCCCTGACGTTCAATTCTGTTAAAGTTATGATCACTTCCACCATTGGCTTTGAACTGGGATATTTCCTTCTGTGTCATAGTTGAGGATCGTCTTGGTCCAGGGAACTTGTGCTTTTGTTTTTGCTGAGAATTGTCATGGAAGAGAGGGTCACTGAGGAGAAAATCACTCCAACTGAAGGGAGATGGTGGTGTAATTTCAGACTGAGATGCCTGGAAAGAAGAGGATTGAGGTGAACTCAATTGCGAGAAAGCAGTTGACGATGAAGATGAACAAGGAGAAGTAACTTCACTGAAGAAGTTAGGTTGGATAGATCCTCGGTTGTTGACTTGACCCTGAGCCAAAATGTCCCATGAAAGGTTATTTGCAGCAGATAAATTATCTTGGACTTTCTCTATCACTGGCTTCATGACCACACAGTTATTTTGAAGCCCCATGGGTATTGAAGATGGCTCAATCTTGGGTATTAACGTGTTTCTCAAATTCTTGCCAAAGGACCCAATTAGATTTTCAGTGTTTGGGAGGCTGTTGATGTTTCCATAATCAGAAAGAACCTGAGAAATTGGCTTATGAGTTACAGGATCAATTCCCATCTTGGAAAGCTTCTTTCGCAGCTTAGTGTTCCAATAGTTCTTCACATCATTGTCTGTTCTTCCAGGAAGATGCTTTGCAATTAATGACCATCTGCACTATCAAATTAAGCAATGAGCCCCCTTTTGTTTTTGTTCTCTCTCTGTCCTTTTGTATGAGAGAGAGAGAGAGAGAGAGAGAGAAATCATTAAATTTGCATTATTAACAGAAAATAACAGGCTGTTAAGACTTGAGATAGTTGTATAACCAGAAAGAAATTCGTTTGTTTATGACAAAAAGGCCTCCCAGCTTCTCAGTCACATAGTAAAATGCTGGCAAATGGAAAATTCAGCATTTAATCTAAAAATTCCTGACAGTGAAAAGTTTCTATTCTTCTCTCATAAACATTTTCTTGGGAAAGTAAAGGAGTGGTGAAGTTTATGGCTAGTGCTACAAGTTAAAGCAAATCTAATAGTTTTAAATCTATTCAGGGAAGGCTTATTCCAAATTTGTAGTCAGCACATTATGAACAATTAAAATCCTTGGAAAACAAACTTTAAGCAAAACTAGAGCTAGGAATCCCCACTTCTGGCATGAGAAAAACAAGAAAGATAGGAATACTTGCTTAAATTAATAGGATTCAAAGATATAAAGAGAAAAATAAGGAGAAAACAAGAGAAGTTGACAACCTGCTGCCAATATGTTTGTGAAGATTGATTATGACTTCTTCCTCTTGAGGAGTGAAGCTCTCATGTTTAAGATCAGGCCTTAAGTAATTGGTCCACCTAAGCCTGCAGCTTTTCCCACATCTGTTTAATCCTGTAGAAAATATCATAGAGCAAATCAAGTTATATATGCATTATCATAATAATAATTTTTGAAGCATGGAAAGAAGACGAAACCTGCTTTCTTTGGAACTAAAGTCCAGTTCCCAATTCCATAGTTGGAAACATAAGCAAGAATCCTGGCATCTTCCTCAGCAGTCCAAAGACCCCTCTTAACGTTGGATTTATCACAGCAAGGAGGTCTTCCCATTGAATGATAATGGTGAGATGTACCGAAAGCAAGGTGACTATTATGTAATGGTGATGCAATTTTGAACCTTTGAGAGAGATTATATTTAAGAGAAGAAAAAACAAGTGATCAGAGGAGGCAAGAAAAGCATGCAAATGGCTCCCGATTCCAAACAGCAAATTTTGCATGATTTTACATATAACTTATAGCATTGCCAAGTATTCATGACAAACGTTCACTTGGAAGGTAATTTTTGCCGAATGTGGGTTCTATTTCAAAATTTTTGTGGTAAGCCAAATTTCCTTATCAATTTTGAATATCTTTGTAGTTTTCAAAATTCAAATATATTATTGCAAATATTTATTGGGCTTTTGGGAGTTCATATATCATGCAATTAAAACCTTGTGTGAAAGTTTTTAAGACTAGTAACCTTAACAACTGGTGTGACTTAAACTGAGAAATTGGTAATTTAGGGATCATAATATTGCCCAAAGTTTTTATGCAGTTGCAAGATGAAAAACTAGCATTACCTACTTCTATATTTTTAGTTTTTACAAAATTAGACCCCTTTCGCTTGGTGAGTCTAAGCAGTTGAAAATTCGAGTTAACGGATGATAACTCGTCTATTTGGATACAAATATGTTGCAATTTTCCGACGCTTGGCTGCAAAGGGCAGCCACTTGGCATGTTCATTAGAGAAATTGGAAGTAGTCTAACTAACAGTAAAATCATTCTGTTTAAATTCGGATAGTAATCGACGTGGTAAAATCATCTTGAACATATGACATTTCGCAATAAAAAGATTTCTCGTCCTACAAAATGTGTGTGCCCATTGAGCATAACTCAAATATCAGTATGTACAACTATTAAATGGGTTTGACCATTACTCTTTAAGGAACCCAGAAAGCAGCCCCAAGAACTTTCTAGGAGGAGCACACCTTACAACTCTTCCTACAGATTCCGTATGACTCTTCAGAACCCACCATGTAAATAGGGTTCTTTTCACACTCTCCGGCCTTAGCCCAGACAGGGCAGTTGTTATTTTCATCAACGCAATCCCCATTTTCAGAGCGCCTCTCTAGTTTATCAAACGACCTTACATGGATCCACTTTGTTGCAGACCATTTCTCACCCTTTATCACTGGGCAACTCCCGTGCAAACTGTCTGTATCTGTAGTCGCATCAGGATGAAGACTGAAGAACAGTAATGCATCGCCTTTTCTGGGTTTCACTGCAAGTGAATGCAGAACAGTCGTGTCAAAAGCCAAAGACTATATGGTGGGATTTCTAATGCTACAATTTGTCAGAGAACAACTCAATGAAAAATTGATACGGCTGTTTTGTGGTAATATCCACAGAATTCATCAAAACGACGGATCACTTGTCAGTCCTAGAAGTGTGAATATATACTGTTAAGATATTGCAAATGTCAAAATTCCGCTGCTGTGTCCAAGAGGATCAAGACCCAAATGCACTTTTAATTAACTAATTTTCAATGTATACTTGTTCCCTCTTTAAAGGATATTCTCTTATTTAGAATATAAAACAAAAAAAAGTTCCATGCACAGGTTCATATATGATCTAGCATATTAAATCTGAGAAAGTAATAAAGGTACAGTGGTTTTCACCCAAAATCTCAAGAGGATCATACCTGCATATCCATTTTTAGCACAATCTGACCAACTGTCATCCTTGGGCTGAGCAAGTTTTCCCTACAGAAGACAAATGATGAGTGATGAACTACACAAACAAAGACCATGGGAATGTAACAATGATAAAACAGGATCCAAGTAAAACATATATAAAAGAAAATCAAAGACCACTAGAAAATAGGATTCATGGCAAATGCCCTTACCTGTGAATTTGGAAAGACAGTTTCCCCACCACTCTCAACATCAGACAAATACATCAGTACAGTGGCAATACGGTGACCACCCAGCTCTTGGTTAGCCTTGTCATGAAAATAATCAAAATGAGGCTCATACTTCTGGCCATGCTCATAGTGTAGTATTTGCATGGACTCTCCATTCTCTGTTTACAACACCATATTCAAGGAAGATGAGAAAAAAATGCTTCCATATGGATAAGAAATTATAGGATGGCAACAAGCAGTAACAAATATACCTACTGGAAGGAAGGTCCATGCAGCAATCCTGGCTTCAATATCAACAATGACTTCATCCTTCACATGAGAAACAAAGGACACCATGTAAGCCTTTAAAGTTCAAGAATCAGCACATACAATGCTTTCTAGACAGGGTCCATAAATGAAAATAATCCTAACATCACCATAAGCGTAAGGTAAACAACAGATTAACTTAATGAAACACATAATTTTATGGCAGGGATTTGAGAAGGCTCATATTATCCAGAACCAATTTGACTAAGTCAAACTAATCAGCTTTTCAGATATTCATTCAATGAGGAAACAGATTGTTTTGGTAAAGAACCCTGAGATTAAGTTTGAATGAATCATGAGGGGAAGAGCACAATCACACAATGCATAATCTGCACGAACTACCACCCAAAAAATTTGTTATTTATGAAGAATACAGAAAAACTGCTTCTTTACAAACATTTTTGAATACAGCTTCCAACAGAACATCAATAAAGAATGCCAGGCAAATCTGCAATTAAGTGGTTCACAACTCATAAGTACTCCAAAACATTTGGTTAATATGATCAAATCTGTCATTATCAGGAAAAAAGATACAAAGCATACCCAAACCATTGTGATCTGATTTTATGGTATCTCATGGAAGAAAAAAAGGAACACTTTAGAATACTAATCCGTTATTATGACATGATTCTGTAAACCCAGATACAAATAAAATTTGATTGCATATAATTACATACAGTCAATTTAGCCAAAAGACATAGAAAACAAAATCAGGTGGGGAGATCATTCCTTTTACTTCTAAATTCAAGAATTCTGCTCATAAGTTCGACATTCAAATGCGGACGCGGTAAACAAACTAACAGCATTCCTCTCTTACGTTAACAGAATTTCAACTAAACAATAAAAAGAGGCAATTTATTTATACCTGAGCTTTCTGAAGAAACATGCCAGAGCTGGTTCGAACTTCGCTTTCTACGCTCTGACCAGACTCATTATCCGCCACCATTGACTTCTCCAACTTATCCTTAGCCTAAGAACAAAATTAACACCATATTTTCAAAAATGAAATCATTAAATCAAAATTCTTCAAAAGATTAAGAAAAAAATAAACAAAAAATTGTTGCTTACCAGAGTAATAAGGTGATCACTTTCCTCAGCCGATAAAAATCCTTTGTAAATAAAAGCCCTGCAAAAAAAAAAAAAAAACCAAACCAACCATAAATTTCACAATCTTGACTAAATTAAACTGAAAAAAAAATAAAAAATGTTAGGGAGAAATTAAAGTTACCTAGGGTGCCATGAGAGTTGAGTTACACGAGATGGGTCAAACAGAACAGAAGAAGTTCCCCTTTTCATTTTAAGCAGCGATCCATTAATCTCAGCCGACACGAAAGAGAAATGAAGGAAACTAAGAAGAAAAAATCCAAGAAAAAACCGAGAATCCATGAAAAAATTCCCTGTTTGGCTCCAATCCGTAATGGAATTACAGAGAGAGAGCCTTGTCTACTGGAATTGAAAATATTTTTTAGGAGAGAACTTGGAAGACTTTTACTTTGGGGTTTCTTCCTCCTTTTTTTTATTTAAGATGGAAATTAATGGGCGCCCACGGGTTTCGTGGAAGGTTTTTTTTGAACTTGCGTGGAAAAGTCAAAGGGACAAATGTTTCGTTCCGGAAGCTTCCACTCTGGCAAAAAACAAAAATTAAAACGGTGCGTTTACCACCTCCCAGCCAATGGATTTTCTACCCAAAACAAAGGTAACTATATCTAGTTGTTTATTTATTTATTGTCAAAAAATCAAGTTACTTATTATTTTATCACGTGAAATGTGGCTATTTGGGTGTTTAGATTGGGTTAGTTGAGTATTTTACTACAATACATAAGTATACGTAATAGAGTAATTAGATTCATATTTGTCACTTTTGCAGTTAGTTCTATCATTTTATTAAATTAAACTCTCTCCTTTTATTGCAATCTTAATATAATGAATTTGATGTATAGATGGCCAAACTTTTGTGTTTGTCTTTTGATGTTTTTATGAAGATCATTTTGGACCTTTTGCATCTTTTTTTTTTGTTTTTCTGTTCTTAGATTTTTTCAACCTTGTTTTCCTGTAAAAATAGAGTGAACTCAGAGTTTCACTCAATAAAACCCCGATTCCAATTACAATCCAAGTTAAATGCTCAAGCCTTACCCAAAAGGTGAGTAGTCTCTATTTGATTTCTAAAAAACTGAAAGAAAATGAATGAACAAATAATTTTAGATTTTGTGTTTGTCAGCATGAACTGTAATTATTAATTCTCGAAATATTCTACAGAAAATATTTTCGTATTTTCTTTTTACTTTGCTTGTACTCCAAGGAAGTCTACAATTAGAATACTTCCTTATTTGCTAATTAATTTACGTATACACCAAGTAAGTTTAGGTTTAGTTGGCTTTATAAATAGCACCTTATGTAGTTTTTTATTTTTTATCAAGCAGTTTAGTTCTTTGCTTAGATCTTAAATATTTTTTACATGGTATCAAAATAGTTTTAATCTTAAAAGAACTCTTTAACGTGAATCTCGAATTCTAAAGCTTATATTTGAAAAATTACCATTACATTTTTTTTTCTTCTATTCATTTAAAACTACAAGGCAGAAACCAATTCCATTATTTCAACCGAACCAAGCAATTTCACGGCTCCAACCATATTAGGCAACCCAACACCACCAATTATTATCCACTAAGATAATTTTGTGTTTCTTATCAATATTACACTGGATGAAACAAATTTCTCATTATGGTCTTAACTCATGGAGATGCGTATTGGTGCTTGCAACAAAGTTAGATATCTCATCGAATAAGCAAAAAAGCATACACCCGAAGATCTTAATTTTGGAATGTGGATTACTGAATATCACATATGAAAAACTGGCTTATTGACTTAATAAGTCCATCATGATGCAATGATTTATTTGTCTTCCCACTACAAAGAAGATATGAGAAATTGTATCAAAAACCATCTATAATGGATCGAATGAGACTTGTATTTTTAAATTGAACTAGAGATCTTTCTTTACCAAGAAAATGACCTACCATTATCAACATACTATAATAAACTTGTGACTATTTTTCAAAAAATTGATCACAAGATTATCTCACATGAAGGAACAATTGAAGGTGTAGTTCAATTGCATATTGTGAAGGCCAAGCTTCGAGTCCATATTTTTCTAAGTGAACGTGATTCTGAATTTGATCAAGTATATGGAGAAATCTTATGAAAAGATCCAAAACTTAATTTGTAAAGCACGTATGCATATGTCAAGAGAGAATATCAACAAAGATAGACAATAGGAGGGTCTCATCCAAATCCTAAGAGCACAACTATGCTAGCCAACTAAACTCAGCAAGGACCATTGTTTAGCTCCTTGAAGAATCCAAGCAATCAATCAACTAGAAAATCTGACATTGTGCTATGTACTCATTATGGTGAAATAGGTCATTTGAAACAGCAATGTTATGAAATCATTGGCTATCCTGAATGATAGGACTTCACAAAGAAACCTAGAAAGACGATTGCAGGGAAAGCCATAATGACATCTACTGAAGAAAACCAATTGAAGCCTACAACAAACGTTACAAACAAATAGCAGAATACAGCAAACATTACCCACTCAAGTATGGGTGGCGAGGCATCGGCATTGCAACTTTTAGGAATAATATTTTGATTTTTAATACATATGCATCTGACCATATGACTAAGGACTTTAGTTAGTTACAATCAATGCTCCCTTCTTCTCAATCTATTATCTCCATAGCTAATAGTAGTACATGTCTTGTTATCGGTAAGGGATCTGTCATATTATCCAATACTCTTATTAGATACAATTCTTATTGTTCCATCCTTTGAATGTAATCTTTTGTCTGTTAGCAAAATTACCTTTACTTTTGATTGCATTGTAACTTTTTGGCCCTCATTTTGCATTTTGCAAGACATTCTGGCTTGAAATATTCTTGGTTATGGTGTTAGGTGATGCAAACTCTATTATTTAGACTTAACAGAAACTATGAGACCAAAATTCAACTAGGTGAATCTAACTAGTAGCAAAACAAGGCTCGAGCAACTATATGGTTATGGCATCAAAGATTAGGACATCTTTCTTTTAGTTATCTTAAGAAGTTACAATCGCATCTATTTTCAGGTTTGAATAACTTCGATTTCATTGTGACATTTGCGAACTAGCTAAAAGCCATCGTATTGCTTATCCACCAAGTTTGAATAAAAGTTTAGAACCTTTTGCTGTTATTCACTCTGATGTTTGAGGTCTTGTAAAAACTCCTTCAATTTCTAAAGCTCGTTACTTTGTTACATTTATTGATGAATGCACTAGAATGAATTGGGTCTTTTGCTTCAAAATAAAAGTGATGTATGCACAACATTTTAAAATTTTTTTACTATGGTAGGCATTCATTACTAGAAGTAAATTCGTGATCTATAAACAAACAATGGTATTAAGTATGATGGATCTCTTGACAAATTTTTTAGCCTTTATGGGATTCGTCATTGAACTTCTTGTATCTATAATCCATAGCAAAATGGATTGGTTAAGAAGAAAAATAGATGGATATTGAAAGTGGTTCATGCCTTTCTCTTTGGCAAGAACATGCCTCGATTTTAATAAAGAGGAGCTATAAAACTTGCTATCTACCTTATTATTCGAATACCGTATTGAGAAATAGACTTTAAGGCCCCATCAACAAAAAGTGTGATCTTGACTTTCAATTCCCCAACTCCTTAATCTTGAACCATGAGTTTTTGTTTGCACTATATATGTTGACATTCCCAAAAACTTATGAAATAAACTTAATCCATGTGCAAAATGATGTGTCTTTGTTGGCTATTTTGATTTTCAAAAAGGGTACAAGTGCTATGACCCTCAAACCCATAAATTACATGTAATTTTAGATGTTTCTTTTTGTGAATTAGAGCCTTATTACTTAGGGGGAGTCTCTAAACCTTCTCTTTAATGGGAGAGTTCTACCGAAGAGAATGTATTACAACAAGGTCGTGGAGGAAAGGAGTTTATGGAGTTAAAGGAAGTGAATGAACATTTGGGGAAAAGTGTTCAACAATATTATGATAGTTTTCTTGAAATTAAGAATGAATTAGTTCTTCTTGCAAGTGAATTAGGTACTTCTGTCATAAAGTCCTCAAAATTACCAATGCCTACACATACATTATTAACTGAAGAATCAACCCAGAATGTTGTTCCTCAAGTAATCCTAAATTCCATATCTAATGAGGTAATCTCGAACCTCATATTTGATGAGTCTCATGAAATTTTAGATCCCATATTTTTTATGAGTCCCATGAAACACATGTTCTTATAAAAGTGATAATTCCTAAATATCCACAAAGATCAAATATTGGAGTCCTAAAGAAACAATATGAACCTAATCCTAAAGCTAAGGTCAAATACACAATTAGTTACTATGTGTCTTCCCATAGATTGTCTGAATCGTATACACTCACTATTAATTAATTGTCCACTATATATATTCCTAGTAGTTTGCAAGATGCATTAAAAGATCTGAAATGGATCAAAGTGATGAACGAAGAAACGGAGGCTTTACAAAAGAATGCTACTTGGGAATTGGTTCCCTTACCCAAAGGAAAGAAAACAATTGGATATAGATAGGTATTTGTAGTTAAACTCAAAGCAAATGGCGGCATTGAAAAATATAAAGCAAGTATAGGGTGGATTATCAAGAAACTTTTACACCAGTAGCCAAGATTGATATAATTTGAATTCTCATATCTATAGTAGCAAATCGAGATTGGCCTTTACAACAATTTGATGTTAAAAATGCTTTCCTCTATGAAAACTTAGAGGAAAAACTCTACATGGAGTTACCACTAGGAATTAAACATAGTTCTTCGAGTAAAAGGAAAGTTTGTAAATTGTATAAGGCATTATATGGGCTGAAATAGTCACATAGAGCTTGGTTTGGGAGGTTTTCTTTTATAATCAAAGCATTTTGTAGTAAACAAAGTAACTCAGATCATACTTTGTTTATAAAACACAAAGAGGGGAAGATAACAACTTTAATCATATATGTTGATGATATGGTCTTGACGAGAGATGACCCATGTGACATGAAAGCATTACGGGAATATTTGGTTGCTAAATTTGAAATGAAGGATTTGGGGTAACTTAAATATTTCTAAGTGATTGAGATTGCAAGATCAAAATAGGGGATTTTCCTTTGGTAATGGAAATATGTGCTAGATCTCGTAACCAAAACTAGAATCCTTACTAGCAAACCAACAAACATGCCTACAAAAATAAATCATAAGCTTGAAATTTTTCCAGATCAAGTTTCAATAGACAAGGGTCATTATTAGTGGTTGGTTGGGAGATTAATTATTTGTCGTACACAAGATTGGATATAGCTTATGTTGTAAGTGTTATAAGTCAGTTTATGCATGCAGTAAGTGAAGAACATATGAATGCAGTATATTGAATCTTAAGATGCTTGAAGAGTGCTCCGGGCAAAGGTTTGTTATTCTATAAAAATAATGTCTTTAATAGTGAATGATTTAC